TTCGATATACGAGGACTACTTAATAGATTACGAGTAATATTAGCGGCAATGAAGGAAGGACATCGATCGCACAGACAAGTAAAGTGAATTGTATATTAAAAAGACTCCTAGAAATAGGTATCATAGAAAAAAATGATTATAAAAGTGTGATTAAAAATGTCAAATAAAGAACAACTATTCGTCTTCACCTCAAATAAATCAGACATTAAATTATCTCTAGATTATGAGTACGAACTCGATCGCAATCTAGAATATGAATTGGGATTAAAGTATTTTTCTGTTTACAATTCCATTAGAAATATCAAAGAAAAAAAATAATCAAATAAAAATATCAACAGATAACGGAGTTACGTTCAAAACCATACGTTTACTACCAGGAAGCTACGAATACATAGCCATTAACGAATACCTATCTGAATATGGAGGAAGTGTCAATGGTAAAAACAATATTGAATTTGAAGGTAATTTGAATCTGAACAAAATAAAATTGATATTAAGAAATAATAGTCAAGTTGATTTCAACGTAGAAAATTCATTGAATACGTTACTAGGATTTGATAAACGAGTATACACGTAATCGACTTTAGCACCACACAAAGCTAATATCGAGAATGATATCGATGTGATAAATATACATTGCAATTTGATAAACGGTGGATTTTTCAATAAATACAAACGTCAGATTATTTACAGTCTTCCAATATTCACTGAACCGATAGGATATAGAATTATAGAGAAACCATTTCAAACGACGTATTTACCACTTAATTCCTTTATGATTAAAGATATAAATCTGGAAATTAAAGATGGTAAAAATAGGTTTATAGATTTTGGTAACGAGGAAATTGTTATTCAACTTCATTTATAACAAAAAAATTAACACTCTTCATTCTCTTCTTGAATAATAAGGTAATCGAAATCATCAAATTCGTAGTTTTCATCCATGTTCAATTCTTTTCCGTCGTTGTAAGGATACATGAATCCTTCACTGTTTGGTGCTTTTCTCTTAACGAGATTTAGATAACTTCTAAAAACTTTCTTTTGTTTATCATCATCCTTTGGAATAACTACTCCATTGGTGAAACTTTTTACCCAAGGTTTCTTAAATTCATTCGTTACATCGAGTCCACTAGCTAATCGAATATAATCTTCTACGGATATCTTATCTTTAGAGTAACCCTTAAACGTTTTCTTTTAAAACACCATCGGAAGTTAGAATGATATTGTATTTAACTTTTGGCGCTAAATATAAACCAAATATAATTCCACCATCACCGTAATCATTCTTTCCTTTACAATAATCATTTTCGGACACCAACCCAGCTTCATTTAATTTATCCCAATTGCTAGACGAAATGTATAAACTATCGGTATCAGTATAGTACATTTCCGGTTTATAAAATCCATCTATCACGTGAATAAAATTATTCATTATTTTTTTACTGTGAGATAAAACGAATGATCCCAAATGACTAGGTGTTAGTCGTGTAGATTTAGGAGGAATAAATTCTTTTTCTTCTTCATTTATCTCAACTATATATTGACTATCATTTACTTTTTCATAGCTTTTGACGTGTGAATCATAGTTGGCTTTTAAAGTCGCTTCACTCCATAGATGTCTCGATGTAGTTATATCCTTCTGAATAGATTTACCATACAACGAATTGCCTAATAATTTCATGCCATTACTACCCACAATATTACCTTCTCGTTTATATTTATTTCTAAGATCTCTTAAAATTAAAATAAAATCTCTATATGGTGGAGTTTTAAAATTGTCTTCATAAACTATACCATCTAATATTTTAATAAATCGTCCACCGGCTTTCACTATTTCTTGAATATCGACCGATGTTAAAACGTCGTGACAGAAACCATTTCTGAACCTGATTTTAGTTCCAGTTTCCTTTTTACCTTCTTTATTCGTGAAAGTGATTTTATCTTTAGCTGGTATCGGTTGGAAGAACATGTTTTTGGGATATTCAAACCAAACTTTTAAAATAGCAGTTCTAGGTCTGAATTTCTCTTCATTAAAGAGCTTGACAAATTCTTTATTTTCTTCCGGTAGAAATAGTCTACCACTTTCCGCTCTCGGATATTCGCTATCTAAATCCGACATGGCGGAAGCGTATAAACCGTTAGCATCAAAGGCCATTAGTTTAGTACATTTTATTTTTTTAAGTCTCGAATGAACCTCCGCTTTATCTTTCTTGCTAGCGCTATATTCTTTGAATAAATCAATTATATTATCAGTGTCACTTGCATTGTATTCCTTTAATATATTACAAATTTCATCCATTTTATTCGTTTCAAATGATTTTCGATTTGCCGAAACTATTCCTCCTTTAATGCTTAGTCTGATAAAATATCTTCTAAAAGGGTGAGTATGTGAGTAAACTTTTTCTACGTTTTCTTTTTCGGTGTGTTTCGGAACCATTCTAGTAGTTTCATACCATTCTTCTTCTATCATTTCTTTATCGTAATGATATAAATAATACCAACCCTTTAAAGATAAAGAAGGAGCCGTTAGATTATTGGAAATATATCAAAAAATTTGATTGTATTTTATCAAACAAGCTCCGAGACATAACGTATCTCTTTTAGCGCAAGGTTCCCATTCGTGTCTTAAAGATTCCCAATTATCTTTAGTGTATTTTGCAATATTAACATCCTCGATCTTTCTCAAATTCATTGGTAGATTAGATGAATTTCCCCATGCTGCCAAACTAGATGATTCGTGTTGATAGGAACATATGAAATTAATATTTAGCAAATAATTAGATTTCGGGGAAGGGAGGGTTTGATTCTCCCAAATGTACAGGCCTAGGGTGGAGCAGACACTTTATTTAGAAATTAGGATTAAGGGTCTTGATATTGGGTTTTCTTCTGTTCTTATTCTGATCTGAAATTAGAAAAAAATAACTCGCCCGATGGGCGAGAAGTATAGTATCTGTTATGTGCTGATTGTCTTTAGTTTACTATGAACAATATTATCATTTAAGTTCTTATTTTTTGAATATGCAACTATCATTTTCTGCTTATAGACATAGGGGAATTTCTCTTGAAGGCTCTTATAGTGGGCATGAACTATCTTGCTTGCTCGATTGCTGGTTGTATTAAACGGGACAACAAAGGGTGCTATGCCTACATTATGATGAATATTTAGTCCTATAGGTCTTGCTGTATTCAATGTCTCAATCCAATGGGCTTCCCTAGATTGACGGAATTTGGTAGTTTCATCTTCGAGCAAGTCAATTTCTATACGCTCAATTGGGATTAGGGCGAGATCGTCTATTGAATGGTCGTCGAGGTTGAAATGATTAGAAACAGGCTTGTCTTTCTTTAATTTGATGTCTGACCTATGAGCATTAAAGCGAGTTCGTAAATTAGTTTCTCCTACATATTGTTTGGGGCATTTCTTGCATGAAATTAAATATATTACATTCGAATGTTCACATGTTAGATGGTCCTGGATCGATTACCTTTTATTCGTAGAGTTGCTTCTTAAACCTGAAGGTACTTCGGCATAAAGTCTGTTTTTAGCTGCTATCTGTGCTAAGGTGGAATTTTTTATGTTTCGTAAAAATCGTTTAGAGTACCCACGCTCTTTCAGTTTTGAGTAAACAATCGTACAGGCTTGGTTGAAATCAGAAGATCTTGTACAAATTCGATGAAATCGTAAAACTTGTGACTTAATTATACCAGAAAAGGTATGTTTTGGGTGAAAGGAGCTCTTGTGCAAGAGTTGATGAGTATCAGTTTCTTTGAAATACACTTTAATATCCAGTGTATTTGTTTCTGCTATGGAATCTCCCTTAAAGACTGTGGTATCGAGAAAGTCTATGCTTTTGTCACTCACGTTTGCGGTTAGTTTGATAGAAGGATGGTGGTTGTTGAGAATTTCAAAGAATTCCCAAAACTCTTCGATAGAATAAGTCCAAACCATAAAAATGTCATCCAAAAAGCGTCCGTAAAAAAGTGGGTCAAATGGACAGAAGGGCAACACCTCACGTTCCCACTCTGCCATGAAAAAGTTTGCGTACGAAGGGGCGAATCGTTTGACCATTGCTGTCGCTGAAGTTTGTAAATATGTTTTACCATTAAATGTGAAATCGTTTCGACTAAGACAAATCTCTAAAAGCTGTAGAATTGCATCGTCGGGTCTGTGTGGATCTGGGTTTCTAATAAAAGCTGTTAAACCAGTAGTGTTATCGATATTGGTATACATAGAAGAAACGTCGATAGAAATTAAAATAGCATTTAGAGGGAACTCGAAGATTTTTTATTTTATTGACAAAATCGGTTGTGTCTCTAAGGTAGGCGCGATGTTGACATGCTAGAGGTAGTAAGAAATGATCACTGACACTGCATATGACTCACTACCACAGTCACATATAATCGGGCGGCCTTTAGGGATTTTATTCGAGATAAACCACTCCTTGCAGTTTCTTTGAAAATTGGTTTCGGTAAAATGGCATAATGTTTAGGATTATTCAGTTGATTCTCTGCTTCTGAAACGTAATCCTCCCTATTCAGAATGACACAACATGAACCTTTGTCACTCTTTTTAATAACAATGCTATCGTCTTTCTTAAGTAAGTTTAACGCTTCACGTTCCACCCGTGTGAGATTAGGCTTTTCGTGTGTTATGGAAAGGTTCACTGCCTGAGGGGGTGTCCACGTGGATTTAGGAATAAACATTGTTCTAGCACCACGTGGGGGTGGTTTCGAAAAAAATATGTGCAGCTAAGATTTCGTTGAAATCGTTCAATGGGTGGTCGGAGATAATTCAAGTTAGCTATCTTTGGTGTGGGAATAAATT